TTAGCATTGTCTGGACATAACAATACTACTCAACATACAATTTCCAACCACACTTCTGGACTGGAATGCTGTCGTTTTAGAAACTGTCATTTTTAACGATGGTTTGTTGAATAAACATGTATTTCGCTTTCCATGCTTTGAATCGTTATTATATTATAGTATGCGATGTCTGAAACTACACAAGCACAGCGAAGTACTTAAACTTGTTTCTCATGCAGATTCAGCTGTCAACCATCTATAACAGAAATAAACAAGTTCAAGTAAATTTGTGTCAAAATTGTATTCAGGGACTTATTCTTATACTCTTACTTTACTGGCATTAATCAAACTCAATACACTGCTTTCCGTTGTTACGCGTCTAGGTAGCAATATAAAGTTCAAATAAGCAAGGTCCCTGTACTTGCAGTGCAATATATCAGATAAAAATATGCAGTCCTCAACACATACTTACAACTAAGCTCATAAGAGGACATAAACGATGCGAATATAAAGTATCTGTATGACAAACATATCTTAGGCTATTCAACCCTATTATTATTATTTCATCCAACCACCCTCAGTCAGTAAGTGAAACACAGTACTATTTTCAACTACAATGCAGTTATATACCAAACTTTACAATGAACTACAGTAGTTACAGCTCATTTAGAACACCACTGAATTCCAGTGGTGTTCTAAATGACGTCCACTTACTGAGATGATGTGCTAATAAACATGTTGTATCACAATATTAAAATCCAAACTGTCTTGAAATGAATTGACAGTAATTCCAGAAATCAGCTACAAATTCATAAAATGTAAGAACTTTGTAATTCCAATGAATAAAGAAAGCAAATGTAATTAAATCTACATAAAAGAATTAAACACAACTATTTGTCTCCTCTAAGAGTGATATGCGTTATAGGAATAATTAATTCTAAGAAAACCTTTCCTTATATAAAACAATACTAAACGTAGTATCAGGTGTAGAATCTGGATTGAATAATCATTTCGAAATCACTCTCTGTCAGCAAGGTCAGGTACTTTAGCAACTAACCAATCAAGAGTTAACATAATCCTGGTTTTCAAGAAAACATTATCTGAACTCGTCAACATTGAGAACATCTATCTGCAAATATGTAACGCGTTTCCTAAACTAATTTCATCTTAAAGTACAAACCAACACCAATAAAGAAACTTAGTATTATTTATTCTGAATGTCCTTTATAATCTGTAATTATTAAAAATGATGTACATAATATATATATATATATATATATATATATATATATATATATATATATATATATATATATATATATATATATATATATATATATATATATATACACTTAACACTGTCAAATAGGACTTCAACAATCAATGTATTTTTCTCTCGTGCGTTACGGAAAAGTAATATCCATATTTATATTTATTTTATGTTTATTAAATTAAATAAAAATCGTAAATTTATCAAGAAATGTTGTAGCCAATTCAGTTTACCACTGCATCAGGACAGTTAGGCCGCTAATGTTCATTTTATATGCATGAATCAGTCCGGCATTTGCATATTTGTTCTATGTCAGATGTGCATATGTTGCACCTCACAAGTTCCTATTATATATATATATATAAATATATATATATATATATATATATATATATATATATATATATATATATATATATATATATGCACAGGGTGAACATCCAAATACATAGTGAATCCCGACGTTTGAAGAATGTGGTTTTTAAATACAATCCAGGAATGCATATATAAACAGATCGTTTTGTTTAAGATTTAAATGAGTACTAGATGCTACAAATGTCTAGTAAGAACACAAAACGATTATCTCAAAGTTTGAGGACGAAACTATACATTAAGACTGAGAGATCAGTTTTGATAATGAAAACGTGGGTATATAAAATTTAAAGGGCACTTTAATTGACAGTTTTGTGACGAACCTTTGTAACAAGCCTCTGAATTGGTTACGATCAACTCATATGACACATGAAACTAGAAGCTATTAGTTCGTAACTGCAGAAAGAAACTACTTGTCAATTCGTGTTCACTGGTTGTGCAATTTGCTAATAATTACAAACAATGATCAATATATATTCTACTCATTTTTTTAAATTCACTATAATTTGATACATATTACAAACTAAATATAGACAACACGTAAACGTTGAGACCACTTTCGAGTTGTTGTTCTTAAAACTGAATTCAAACTGAATTCAATATTATTATATGATCATTCTTTTCTCCGTTAACTTTACCCTGCAGAAAGAAACTACTTGTCTATTCGTGTTCACTGGTTGTGCCATTTGTTAATATTTACAAATAATGATCAATATATAATCTATTCATTTTATGAAATCCGCTATAATTTGATAAATATTACAAAATAAACAACGCTAACACGTAAACGTTGAGACACTTTCGATGTGTTGTTCTTAAAACAAAATAATTCAATATTATTATATGCACAATTTTATCCATTAACTTTACATTGTATAATGTATTTACCGAAATTGAACGCCTTCATATTGCATCCCACGCGCTTAATTCAAACGATCTATTTTCTAACGTAAACAATTTTGTATGAATGAACTAAAGCAGATATTTCATGGACTGCCACATACAAGCAAATGTTTCATAGACTGACACAATGACATACAAACTGCGTTGGTACATTCCGCGTTACTGTTTTGATACAATGTTTCTGATTTAGCTAAATATAGACGCTATTCAGTGTCCTCACAATAACACGCAAGTTATACACATAAACTGTCTTCTTTAGATGGTTAGAAAAACTCCAAAAAGTATACTTACAATTTTACATCCTGAATTTCCTCAACAAATATACTTTCGTAGATCTGTAGATCTGAATTACATGAGCCATATCATATGTTCTCAAAGTTGATTACACATTTTGAAGTTGTACTGTAATTTCGAGTACATTTCTAGTGCAGTTACATCTTCTTGCTGAACTCAAAATGAAATAAGCATTAAATTCTACAGCATCTTTTCGATAATTGCAATTGAAAGGCTTCATAATTTTCCCACATTATGATCTGAATCATTCAATGAAAAAAAAAAGAAACACGCATGCCGATGTCAACACACAACACAACGATTAAATTGGCATACGCTGCTGGAATCCAACACAAGACACTTCATGTAGATAAATCCGGACCGTAATCAAAAGACTGCGTTGAGTCGACAAAAATACCAAATCGCATTCATTCCAGATCAAATGGAAAAGTTGTTGCTATGCGTATTCATTAACAATATTACTCCAATTTTCAATTTTAAGTAGACCAAATGTCATTTTCTTTCAAAACGTAGTCTAGCGAGCGACCAACTTCAAATTTATTGGGTGGAGTTATGCGCTCATTAATAATGTTGTGTAATGATTCATCAACGCTTATGTGTTTAGTTTGGAATACAGTATACATTTAGTTATTTTGTTTCTTGTAGTGTATTTTTGTTTATATATTTAAGCCTTGGGAAGAAAAAGAAAAGAGCATATAATAAAAAAGATTACTACATTTGTTGGATGGATATACTGCACTCCCAAGGTCGTGTAGTATATCAATCCAAAATTCTCGTTCATATTTTCCCATAAAAATTCAGTAACCTATAATTATTGTTTACCTCCCTAAATACATTCTATTTCTATACGACCAATGTCATAAATAACATGACATAAACAAAATTACGGCAAAGCTTAAAATCTTTCTAATACGTTCTTGTTATAATCTTAAATGCCTAATTATCATGAAACATTGCATATATAGTAGGCTAAATGTCATCAAGATACATAAACATACATAGCAGTGGGTCATAAAGATACAAATATCTCAAGTGAAAACAAAAGCAGAACTTTGTATATAAACAGATGAACACTTTAATTACTTTTTTTGAATATATCATTTATAATATATTTTAAATTGATAAAATAATAGATAATTGTTCATTATCTTTTAGATTTCAATTTTTTTCAATTGTTTTAATTTGACAGTATCTAAACAGTATATTAAAAAAAAAATAAACTTGACTGTTCAATACGCTGTTTAGATTTAATATCAGTCTGAATCGAAAAATCATGCAGGGAATGTCGTTTAACAAGAGTTAACAATAGAAATGAAAATACGACTTTCTGGTGCATCGCCGAGCTTAAAAAAATTGTAGATACTGAAAGATTAAGTGGGATATGTACGTCACGGTTGTTCGATATCAGCAAAATGAAGGTATTGGTGTGGTGCCCGTTATTTGTCAAATCAACACAATAGGAACAAACATATTAAATTTAATATATATTTCAAGGACAATTGATATTTCTAATTCCAGCACCTCAATTGGTTGAATCAAGGATCGAAATTATTAAAAATGTAGAAATGAAATCGTATCTGGTCATATTCTGCTTTATTATTATTATTATTATTATTAGTAGTAGTAGTAGTAGTAGTAGTAAGAGTAGTAGTAGTAGTAGTAGTAGTGGTAGTAGTAGTAGTAGTAGTAGTAGTAGTAGTAGCGGTAGTAGTATCACTATTATTATTATTGGTGTTCTTGCTATTGTTTGTCGTTTTTTCTTTTCTTCGTCATCAAAGTGTTGTTTGTTGTTGATTATCTGTGTATGACTATTTACCATGTTTAACCTTTCTATAATTTCTAAGATGTAACTGATCCAGAAGATCACTCAATCAAAATGATTCAATATCAACAAAATAATAATGGTTTACCTAAGCTTCTAATTCTCCTTTACAGAATTTTCCGTTGAAAAAATAACAATGTATATTAAAAGCCAAGTTTAATATAACGTAGCAATATAGAACAAAGCTCATTACTGGACATTAATGACGTCACTGAACAATTTTATGATTTGCACACTAGTACCGAAATTCTGAATCATGTATTACTTACCGTGCACAAGATGTACTCATTTTGAAAAGTGCTTACCTGCCATGGCCAAAAAGATATGCTTTCTTCATAATGTACTTTCAGTTATTCTTTTGACCGCTCCGGTGGCTTAATGGTGAGAGCGTCCGTCTGGGATGCGAAAGGTCGTGGGTACTATCCCCGGCCGAGTCATACCAAAGACTTACAAAAATGATACTAACAACTAACAGCTGCCTCGTTTAGAGCTCAGCATTAATAGGATAGTGTCAGGACTGGTCGGCCTGATGCCAGGATAATGTGACTATGTGGGACATCATGCTACATTTCTGCGGCGTGATGCTCCAGTGCTAGACATCACTATACACTACCACACTGCAGACATCGTAGCAATATGACTGAGAAATTGTTAAAGCTACGTTAAATCACACACACACATACACACACACCACACACACACACACACACACACACATATATATATATATATATATATATATATATATATATATATATATATATATATATATATATATGCACACACACACATACACACACATACACACGCAGAGTTCATCTTTTCATTTGTACCCTTTACCTGGACGAGCTTGGTTTTAATATTTGTGATGCCGGGATCCAAAAGGGCATTTGCTACATTTAAATCGTGTCTCGTGTATTTTCATCTTCCAGTTTAACATGCTCACAGAAAGTGATACTTATGTACTTTGTTTGGGTTTTAAAACTCTACCATACTTTACTTGGTGTTCGTTTTAATTTTATTATATTTCTGCATCTGAAAGATATCTTGGGTTTCTAGTACTTAGGGATTCTACAAAATATGGATTCCCCAACATGTGCATAATAATTAAATTAACATGAGATATATACATTAACATGAGATATATGCATCAACATGAGATATATACTTCAACCAATGGTAGCCAATCGAAGCTTTTGAACAAACCTAAAGTGGTATTCATTTTTATTCTAAATGAACACGTGTATGTTAGTGAAAGCAAATATTCAAAGTAAAGATATGATGTCTCTTTAGACATAAACATGACTCTTTGATTTGATAATTTAATGGTCTAAGTATAAAGCGATTTGGGAGATTCATAACTGTTTAGACTCGTGAGTAATCCATTTTTGTTCCTTAAAACTTGTTTATGTTCAAGCTGGGATAAATACCGTAATAATGAACATAAAACGTAAATGTTGAATCATAAGTTTAAAAAAGTTGTGTAGTAAGTTTTGTTTGTCTACACACACACACACACACACACATACACACACACATATGATACAACAAATAGTTATTTAATCCTTGTAATTTTACAGTCATATTATGAATGTGAACCAATTATCTTTTATAACATAAATATCCCACTCCCCAATCAGATGTGCGACATCAGCATCGGAAATTAATAGATTCATGAAAAGACAGATATAAAAAAGACCAAAAGTTGATAGGTAATTTTCTTGGTGTCAACAATGTTAACTATTTTCAACAGGAAATCATGATTTTAATTATGTTTAATTTCTATGCCCGCGTCATTCATGGATTGGATATAAGTTCCTCTGCGAATGTGTACCGTGCTAACGTTTAATTAATTAAGCTGTACCTGAGGAATTTTTTAAACAAAATTTCAGGATTGAGATTTGATGAAGATTAGCTAATTTGATATGTAGGCCGTATGGAATTCAGACGAAATTCAGTGGAATATGACACGAAATATGCGTATTAAATACTCACGGAATTTCACTTGAGCTTGACTCCTAAATGTTTTGGGGTATCGTTTCTTCGAAAAGGTCGCCTGGAACAGAATACTATTTCAAAGGATCGATATTTTGCTTCATTTTCTGCTTTGATGAACTCTGGTTAAACAATAACTACAATACAAAACAAATTGACTACCTACTGATTTATTTTAGAATCTTGTAATGTTCTTGCGAAGCCACTTCAAACGTGTTTACCAACTAGAATTAAAGAGGTATCTAATTTATACATGAACAATAATATTGACAACCAATATGGATCTTACTTGCTTAGGAATTGCTCGGTACTTTTATTAGTTAATATATACGATGATATTTCTGATATTGTTGCAAATGTCGTTCGGTCTTTTTTTTTCTTAATGGATCATATACAAAGAGACTAAATGTACTTCCAGTGCTTTTTTGTAACTGCTAGAGGTGTATGTTTACACTGATTTATTTCACATATGAACTCTGTTTATAGAAACTATGTTATAAATGCTCAATGTTTTCGACCCAAACGTTTTATGCGTTTGCATGTATGCATAGTGCCTAAAAAGTAAAAAAATGGGGCCCATTCCGACTCGGATTTAGCAACCTCTTAAACTCTGTGAAAACTGCCATTTTGGCCGGATCGTGTCCTTAATGTGACCCAACTGATATATGCATGGTATGTAATAGTAGTACCTAAAGCGCAATATTTGTGGCCCGATACGGCTAAGTTTCCAAGTCTGAGCCTTGGATTGGTTCCAAAATACTGCTCGTGAGGTCGTATGCTGATGTGTGTGTGTGTGTGTGTGTGATTTAGATTTTCAACTTGGCTTTAACAATTTTAATCATACGATATCTGCAATGTGGCAGTTTATAGTGGTTCTATTACCGGGACATCATGCTTTCGACGTTTGTGGCATCATGTCCCACACAAATACATTATCCTGACACCAGGTTGACCAGTCCTAACACTAATCACTTAATGGTGTGCGCCAAGCGAGGCAGTTCCTAGTACCATTTTGATAAGTCCTTGGTATGATTCGACTGATGTTCAATCCCGCGATCAACCGGATCCGAAGGGACCCTTCGAATACGAACTGTTCCAACCCTTAGGCAACCAGAGCGGTCCCTATGCTTGCATGCCAAAGCATATAACCATTGGCTCAAAATAATTTCCCTATAACTCCAAATTGGCGGTTTTCACATGGTTAAAGAGGTTACCAAATCAAAGCCGGATTAGTTCATAAATGTTGTTCTTGAAATCAGGGATCCCATCGAATACGGTTGATCGCGGGATTGAACACCAGTCGAGTCATACCAAGGACTTATCAAAATGGTACTAGGAACTGCCTCGTTTGGCGCACAACATTAAGTGATTAGTGTTAGGACTGGTCAATGTGGTTGAAATGTTGTATGTGAAAACCTCCATTATAGCGGTATATTGAAATTAATGTGGGCCGACGATAATTTGCTTTGTCATGTAAGAATATGATTTCAAGAGCAAGATTTTGGAACCAATACTGGTCTCTCCAACCTCATTTCAGTTGGTCAACATTAATTAGGTTGTCTCTTCCCTTTGACCACTCTGTGGTTGTATATGTTGAGCTACTTCCCATTAAAAAAAATATTCTTAAGGCTTTTTTTCTGGAATCGAGCCCAATTCCCATTCTTTTTATGTCAGATATCATCATATCGGAGTTCGATTAAAACTAACGCTAATATAGGTCAATTCGCTGCCTGACACCTGATCCACAAAACCTAGAACATAAAAGTAATGTTTCCCCAACGGCTATTCAGCAGCACTAACGGATGTATGACATAACTTAGACCTCTTAGTAAATTATTACATCTTGGTGTGTGTTATAAATCCTTAAATGGACTAAATGTAGGCCGACATGCGCTCTTAATGCTAAAACAATATTTATTCTGTTTTAAACAATCTCATCTTATTATAGAAACGAAAAAATCAAATTCTCTTCTTTTATGAACTAAAATATTTGCTATATGTTTTATACATTTTATCATGTATAATGTTTTCAAGGCAACGGCAGAACTTGGATAAGAATGAAATTTTGTTTCCAATTCTTTATTTGATACGGGATAAACGAAGGATATCTAGGTAGAATTAACATAATATTCGACCTCTTCAGACCATGAAATCATTAGTGTAATCCTCACATTAGAGAGCCATTTGTAGATAATTATTTCTTTCTTAATTAGTAATCATTGATTGGTATATATTTCGATGAATACATTTTTTTTTGTTAATAATTTGAACAAGTGCTTAATATTGCACATATATATTTTTTGCAAAAAATGGATATCGACCAAACTCTACACATACAAGCATACTGTTCGCAGAAAGTTTAGCTTCTAGTAGCTAGTTGCTATATTTTCATTTTATCCGTTCTATATTTTCTGCGTTTAAAAATCCCCAAATTTCACGGCAACAAGACATTGCCAAATAATTATATAAATCACTGGAAGTTGTAGATTATTATTATTATTATTATTATTATTATTATTATTATTATTATTATTATTATTATTATTTTTGGTAGTAGTAGTAGTAGTAGTAGTAGTAGGTAGTAGTAGTAATAGTAGTAGTAGTAGTAGTAGTCAAACATACGTGCAGTGCTTTGCCATCTTTGGCAGCAATATTATTTGTAGCATATCGAAACCAGCTCTTGTAGGTAAAACCACGCCATAAATAATTAAAACTTATTCATAATGACCAAGTAACATATCTGAGGATGCCTTTTGGCCATCTAATACGGTATATATGTAACATATCTGAGGATGCCTGTTGGTCATCTTATACAGTATACATGTAACATATCTAAGGATGCCTATTGGCCATCTAATACGGTACATATGTAACATATTTGAGGATGCCTTTTAGTCATCTTATACAGTATACATGTAACATATCTAAGGATGCTTGTAAGCCATCTTACACAGTAAGAATGCAACGTATCTAAGGATGCTTGTAGGTCACCTGATACAGTATTCTTGTAACATATCTAGGGATGTTTGAAGGTGATTTTATACCATACGCATGCAACATATTTAAAAATGCTTGAAGGTCATTTTAAACAGTATGCATGTAACATATCTAAGGATGCTTGTAGACCATCTTATACAGTAATCATGCAACGTATCTAAGGATGTTTGTAGGCCATCTTATACAGTAATCATGCAACGTATCTAAGGATGCTTGTATATTTTATGTTGTCTCTAAAAATATCAGCTTTACATAGACAATTTTTTTAAAAAAAGTTCGTCTAAAATGGTTCCTCTTCTACATTTGGTCGTAATGAAATTTCCAAATCCTTAATATAAAGACAAAACAGAACTAGTGAGAAGCTTGTGCTTTGAAGAAGACCAAGTGATAATAGAACTAGTCTGAGTGTGAGTTTATATGATTACGTTCAGCTGTAAAAAGATTT